GTTGTCATCTAGATTCAAGCACTAAGACAAAAGCGATGCGCTCAAAACTCACCCAGTCCTACAACAGCCGAGGAGAAGTTGTCGATGATTGTAACAACTACCTGAAGTAGATAAATTTCAGCTGAAGACACATCCAGAATTCTGATCTTACCAATGTTGTGCAGACGAGACAGAAGAAGACTGGCATGATAATGGGCATTCGTATTTTCTCTGGATGAACTGGCCAGTGTCTACAATTTTTACAAATTTAAAATTAAGACTATTTGTGTAACTAGCGTGGTATCATTTCACCTGAAACGAATCCAGATCAATGCACCCATAGTGCATGCTCGCTGAGACCATTGTGCGAAAGAAACATATGAGATCAGGTTGTCCAGATTTCCAGCAAAGGAAACCACCATTGCAATGAATATCTGAACATTTGAGAAGAAATAACTAGAAGGAAACCGAATATATTCCAGTTACTAAAAACGGAATAGCGCCCTAGTCATTCAATCCTACTTGGAACTGCTAGTCTCATTGAATTCTAAGTAACTTCACTGAAATTTCAAGAAGCTGCATTTCATTTAGCTTACTTCTTGCTTCAGCATAAAAACGTTCTTCGACCATTTCTCGATCACAATTAACCTTACGCTGTCATTGTTTAAAAAATAGCATATCATTTAAGATTAGGGCTCCCTCTACAAAATATTATACCTAGTTTATTACGAGATCTTGGGTTGGCTAAACTAAAAGTGATTGAAAAAGTGTTAACAAAGGGTTCAACCGGTAGCTTATTTTTTCTAGATTGTAAGGAACACGGAATTTGCAATTGGCACCTATTAGAATAATTGATTATGTTAATTACTGAAAAAAACAACAATTTCCACCTAGGACCTTACTTTAGGATTACGGTAGGTAGATTAAATGAATGAGTTAACCCCGGTATACGACTTAGGCAAGGCGAAACTCTCGCCTAAGTGGTATACCGGGGTTAATTCACCTGATTACACAAATCACATCCATTCCTCACGGTAAAACCATTTCAATAAACCTTTTCTAAGCAGATCAATAATCTTGACCATCGCAAACCTTGTTCAACATGGAAGACTTATTGTGCCTTAAGACCGTCATTTTGCTGTCAGCATGTCAAATGACCCTCTAGTACTTTTCAGACAGATACGTGATTTTGAGCACTGTCATACAGTTACCCTAACCCTATACTAAGGCCCTATCGTGGGGAAAAGATATGATTCTCGTAGTAAGCATATCCGATGAACTCATAACATTAAGCAAATTTTAGCTTCTTTTCCAGTAATTAATTTGTCAGTTAAGCCATCCTCGAAATTTCTAATTTCAATCATCTATAATTAACACAGAGGAATTTGCTGATAAGCCAAATGTAACTTCTTCTAGAGCGATACTTCTAAATACACAACGTGGTGTCATAATTCCGATTTGTTAGAGAATTTTGAGCTTAAAAAAACGACGCGAATTTACCGATAACCTTTAATGAAAACACTTCCAATAGGACGACTGTTTGAAAAGTTGTTTGCTTAGGCGTTGTCTTCTTTAATTTGAAATTTAGGATCCTAGCAAAGAAGGGAAGACTTTTGTACCGTTTATTGCACGTAAGCTGAGTTGAATTATGCATCATAAGAAAAGTTCGATAGAACAAAAGCAAAATTATGACAAACAAAAATTGTTTTGTAATTTGTGTGTCCTTTCTTATTTGAACCTCGGCATGTATTCGACATATTGTCTTTTCTTTTACCCTACGAGGTTTTTGAGGTATAGTGTTTATTAGTGGCTTGACTCTTTGACTAATAGTCGTCTTCTGAGGGTTGGGATTACTTAGATACTTACTTAGATGCTTAGATGGCCTTCTTCACTCGTGGTACAGGCCACAGCATTGTTTCTATCCGTTTCTGTCTCTCGCTAGCGTCATCCACGATGTTGTTATTGGATTGCGACGGCACCATCGCGAGGTCCAGATCTGCTACTCGTTACCGGCTGAGAATTCAGCTGGTCCATCCGTACCACGAACACGTCAGCCCATCTGGTATGTGGCCTCCCTCGAGGATGTTTTACTTCGCAAGGGATCCATTTCAAGGTTCTTAGTGTCCATCTGTCGTCTGTCCTTCTCATTTTATCACCAGCCCATCGATGTTTTGCCTTAGAGACATATTGCGCTGGATCGCCAAGACGAAGGTTCCAGAGGAATCTCCCATCAACTCGTATACCTCTCTCGTTCCAATCCAGTGACTTCATCACCCACTGCAAGGC